TCAGGAACCCAAATAGGCAGAGGACTGGGGCCAACCACCTAGACACTCGGTCACCAAGCTGAAGTTTGCTGTGCGAGTCCCTTACCACCCTGGTGTCCCACAGTTCCTGGGGGGCATCTTCTCATAGATGGGCAGTTCCCAGAGATGCCAGCTCTGTCTAGAGTCACACAGCTGGGTCAGCCAAGGCTGGAGGGACGTCAGGTCTCAGCCCCTGGCCCAGACTTGGTCTCCAACTGGGGGCTCTGCAGGCTGGTAGTTGAACTGTTGTTGTGGGCGAGGGAAAGCCCAGAGGAGCTGCCCTCCCTCCCCATACAGTGCATCTGCCCCAGATGTAGGAGGGCTGCCCCAGGAGCCTAGAGACCTCGACAGCAAACCCTCCCACCACCCAGGGGTCTCCAGCCTAGGGAACCAACCAAAAGTCTCCAGCAGCCCCTTCTCAATGTCAGGAGCTGCCAGAGGTCAGCTCCTCCAGACCTGAGCATGACAGAGTTCAGGGATGAGACCAAGGGCAGGACCTCAGGAACGCCCCACACTCTCTAAGCTTCATCCTCATGTCTGTGCCGTGGCCCAGCAATCCTCTCAACCAGGAGGGCATGTGGCTGCAGCAGGCAGACGTCAGAGGTCAGACTGCCTGGCCATGGGTAGCTGCCAGGAGGCCTAGCTTAGAAGAGGCCTTTGGGTGCAAAGCAGCCCCTGGGCCCCAGTTGAGGGAAGGGGTGAACAGGCACAGCCACCCTCTGAGGCTGCTGGGCATCCCACAAGCTCCTGCCAGGCCTGTTCTGGCACAGCAGCCCAGGAGATGGACTGCAGGACCCGCACTGTCTGGCCTGGGTGGGGAGGCTGGCTGGGGGAGTGGGCTGAGGCGAGAAACACTAATAGGTTATGTCAGGCAAGTGCTCTGGGGAGGGGGCCACGCCTCTCAGCTCTGGCAGCCCCACCTGAGGCCCTGCCCAAAGCTGGGGCCTGGAGAGAGATACTGGCTGGGTTCAGAGTGCAGCGTGAGGGCGGGGAGGGGGCTGCTGGCCGGAGCAGGGAAGCCTCCTTCAGCCATGAAGGCCGAGAAGGCAGGACAGGGGTGAGTCCCACCGCCCTCACCCCACTGGGTCTCTGTTGGGTAGCAAACAGATCCCCACCACGGGGGTCCCATGTGGAGCAGCTACAGGGTCTACCCAAGCATACATGTAGCTCAGTTGGGTGGGGAGCAGAGCCCCAGGGAACACCCTCAACCTCTCTTCCTTCTCTGCCCAGACCCCCTTCCCAAGATCCCAGGATCCTATCCCCAAGTCAGGGGACCCTGATTTCTCACCCTACACCTGGGGTCTCCCCCATTCTCTGAGCCTCACTGTGACAGCCCCTCCTGTCTGTCCTGGAGTTAGCATGGGGTCTGGCGCTGGGGGAGAGGGAGAGACCTGAAAATGCCCCCATCCCAGGGTTGTGAGCTGAGGGCGAGGTGAGGTGGAGGTGGGCTCTAGGCAAGGGGGTCAGTGAAAGGCCAGGGACTGGGGCCGGGACTGAGGAGGGGGCCCCTCGCAACTGTGGCGGGGCGGCCAGGGCCTGTGTGTCTTGGCCGAGTGGGACCCCTGGGCCGCCAGGTATGTAACAATTCCAGCCATTTCCTGCCCTATTAATGAGAAAGGGGCTGATATAAATACACGCTCAGCATAAATAAATACAGGCCAGGCCCGGGACTGCATAGCAGACAGATTGCGTGGAGCTGCTGGCCAGCCCGCCAGCCAGCTCCCCCCACCCTGCCCGCGGCCCCCCCACCGCCCCCCACTTGTTTTCCTCCAGCAGTCCAGGGGCCCTCCACACTCACAGTCCTGAGACAGACTGATTGACTGCCCTCACCCTCGGCCTCAGGACAGGGTCTCTAGAGCCCCCTGAGAAGGCTCAGCCCTGGGAGAGAGAACTGAGGTTCCCAGCACCATGCCCAAGGCAGGCACTGCCGACACGCAGACCCATGACACCCCTGTGACGACTGGGGTGCTGAGGTGCTGTTCACAGGGAATCTGAGGTTCACAGGATTGAAGAACTTACCCAAGGTCACACAGTCAGGAAGTTGTGGGTCCAGGGGTGGGTCAAATCCAAGGTTTTCTGACCCCGCCACAGTTTCTAGTCTGCTGAGTTCAAGAGGCAGCTAAGGGCAGATTCTTGCCCTCCTGTCTTTCTCCCAAGTCTCAGTCCCAGGATACCAGACCCTTGGAGAGTTAAGTTCAAAGCCTGGAGACTTAAACTTCAAAAAGCCAGGTCTTGGTAAAGACCCTGTCTATTCCTTCCAGGCCGAGATCGCCTCGTAACGTGGGCATTCAGGACATTGGGGCCCATCGAATGCTGACTGTCTCATTGGGGGTCACATAATCATCCCATGTAGCACACACACAGAAACAGAGACCCAGAGGGGACAGAGCCTCATTCATAATCACAGAGAGAGATAGGTCAGTCACAGAACCAGAGTGTCTGCGCCCAGTCCTGGCCTTCTCGGGTCTTGAACTCATGGTGAGAGACCCATCACCTCTCACACACCTCCCCTGCTCAGTCCTGCCCCACCTCCCCAGCCTGGACACCTCCAGGGTGCACTCAGGTGCCCCACAATCCAGCCTGGGGCCCTTCCAGGGCGCAGATCAGCAACAGCAGCAAGGGAAACCAGGTCCAGTGAAGGTAGAAGCCCAACAAAGGGCACATCTGGAGTGAGCTTCCCCTGCGCTGCTGTGTATTCCTCTCTTTCAAGCCCACTTCAAAGGACCCTTCCTACAGGAAGCCTTCCCAGCTACCCCAGCCCAAAGGAACTACTCCTGGTCTGTTTCCAGCCCTACCCTGCCTCCAAGCGTTTGAGGGCTCCTCTCACCAGTGTGTCTTGTGAGTGGGCATTTAGCCCAAGGCATAACCACAAAGAGTGTTCCTTACAAAGTTCCTCACGTGGGAAGTAGGGACTAGGCCTTTTCAAAACTACAGTCTCCCTACCACCAGCAGTCAGCAATTTGGGAACCAACTGTTTGGGTACTCTCAGGAAAGTAGGGTCCTAAGCCCAGCTGTCTCCTGGCCCCTGGCCCCACCCCATCACCCAGGTCTAGGCTCTCTCCCTTGAAGTCTGGACCAGTGACCTCTTTGCCCCATCTCTGGCCCTTGTGCCTTCTTCCTGGGTTCACCCAGTCATGTAAGGTCTCCACCCCAGGTCCCGGGGATGTGGCAGGTGAGGTGGGACAGCATGTGGAGGGTCAGAGAGGAGCAAGTTGGACAGAGCACTCGGAACCTCTTCCTATATGCGTGCCACCCTTGGGCTTGGGAGGGTGATTCTGTGAGAGAATGATCCTTTCCTAGAATCATTCGCCTAAGGGCAATGTCTGGGTCTGGCCCACTGCAACCTCAGCTTGCATGGCTGCCACATCAGCTGCTCCCTCAGCAGTGCTCTGGGGATTGAGACATGAGGGGTTTCCCTCTCCCTGGAGGAGATGGATGGATGGATGGATGGATGGATGGATGGATGGATGGATGGACAGACGGATGAAAGGATGGACAGACAGATGGACAGGCGGGTGGGTGGATGGATGGATGGATGGATGGATGGGCAGATGGATGGGTGGGTGGATAGATAGATGGGTGGATGGATGGATGGATGGATGGATGGATGGATGGATGGATGGATGGATGGGCGGATGGATGGGCGGATGGATGGGTGGGTCTGTGGATGGATTTTTGGTAAGTGGGTAGATACTGACAGATGGGTAGATGGGTGGGTGCATAAGCTGAGGTGAGGAAGGGAGGAGGGGGGTAGATGGGTGAACGGATGGATGGATGGATGGATGGATGGATGGATGGATGGATGGATGGATGAGTGAATAGTGAGTAGATGGATGGGATGGGTGGGAAAGTGAATAGTTACATGTGAAAATGAATGGATGGGCTTCCTACAGACTGACTCAGAAGTAAATTCTCAAAAGTATTTTCTAAATCTCTGAAAAGTGAGGCCCTGGCACCCCCCAGAGGCTACAGTCTCTAACTACCCTAAAGCCCTGGGCACCAACAATTCTGAGAACCAGGGGCATGGATCCAGAGACTGCAGTGGGGGAGGGGCCTCCCTGGTGGCACTACTGCAGCAGAGTTCAATCCCTGGTCAGGTAGGTGACTCACATAGTGCAGAAGACCTCTCCTGTCTCCCCCACTGCTCCCCTCAGCAGTGTATTTCAGTCAATCCACCTATTCTGCTCCCCACTCTGTCTCTGATGAATCCTCTCATGTCCCACACCTCTGGCCTGCATCCCAGCTCTTGTATGCATAAATAAATAAATCTTAAAAAAAAAAAAAAAAAAAAAAACAGGGCCTCCCCGGTGATGCAAAGGGTTGAGCGCAGCGCTGTGAAGCTATCCGCAACCTCTGCAGCACCAGTTTGATTCCCAGCCAGCCAGGGAGATTCCACATGGCGCAGCAGACCTCTCCTGTCACCCACTGCTCCCCTCAGCAGTGTATTTCGGTCCTTCTGCCTGTTCTGCTCCCTGCTCTGTCTCTGGTGAATTCTCTCACCCTCCCACGCCTCTGGACTGTACCCCGGTGCTTGTATAAATAAATCTTTAAAAAAAAAAAAAACCAAAACAGAGGATTGTAGGGGTTCTATGAAAAAAAAATTAGGGTCCAGTACTGGTTCTTCCCCTGACTTATTCCATGACCTTGGGAATATTCAACCTCCCAAGGCTGCTCGATTTTCTCATCTGGAAGAGTTCATCAAACCTGCTGCCTGTGCTGCTATGAGATTAAATAAAACTATAGCTATAAAGTGTCTGAGATGGCTGTTACCTGGCACTTATCAGGTGTTCATAGAATGTGATTTCTTCCCAGGGGCAGCCCTAGGGCACACACACCCATGCATGAACACACATGCACACAGATGGACACATACACATATGCCATCACACATGCACGCACATGCACATGCACATACACTCACAGCTCAGCCCAGCAGGGAAGAGGGATGGAGAATGAGACCCAAGCCAGGCCAGACATGGAGAGGCAGATGGGGACATATTTATTCTCCAAAGGTCCCATGCTGTGTTAGGACCTGCTCAGCCTCAGGGGCTGAGGGCTCCGAGAGTGAGGAGGCATCCTGGGGCTCAGCCTCCTGATCCTGGGCCAGCTGGGCCGTGTGCTCAAAGGCAGTCTGCAGAAGGTGAGAGGCAAGGCAGGTGGCCCAGGTGACGAGATAGGCCAGGTGCCAGGAGGTAAGCACAGTGGTGCTCTCCACCCACCAGTATAGGTGCTTCAGCAGCACCAGCAGCTCTAGTACCACACGATTCTCCAGCAGGACCTGGGGCCGGCAAGCAGACAGACAGAGGCTGCACCGCCTGGGAACTGGGGCCCACCCCCACTCCATCATCTGATCCCCCCAGTCTGGCCTTGGCCAAGCCCATGTCCAGACCTGCCCTCACCTGGCCAGCCTGGGCCCAGGCCACCCACCTTGCAGGGCAGCCAGCCCAGGCTATAGCGATGGGCTTTCCGGCACAGTCTCCAGGCCAGCAGCAGCAGCAGCAAGGCCGCCAGCATCAGGCTGTGCAGACACGACAGAAGCAGGTCTGTCCATGTAGCCTCGGACAGCCCCAGCCACCCCGAGGCACCAGGCCGCTGCGGGGCCAGGCCCAGGGCCCTAGCACAGCCCAGCACGGCTGCCCACACCAGCCTCAGCCCCTGCAGTAGCAGCCACAAAGGGACCTCGATCAGCATCAGCCCAGCCCGGAGAGCCCGGCCCACAGGGCAGGCTGAGAGGCCCGGGGCTGGGTGGGACTGGCAGCCACAGGACCCCTGGGCCTCCTGGGCCAACCCCGACAGCCAGTGGTTGAAGAGGATGATTTTCAGGAGCAGGAAATTGTAGAGATGGACCCGGTTCTGGACCAGCTGCAGGAAGAGGAAGAGGCACTTGTCAACATCACCCCCCACTGGGACAGTTTTCCTGTGGGCCAAGCTGGCTGCAGACTGCAGGGGCTGCCTCTTCTCCAGGTCTGTTTCCCCCCACAATGGTCTTTCTCTGTCCTAGTCTCAGGACTCCATTCTTAAGAAGAGGGAGCTTCAGAAGGCATTTCATATTATTTTGGGGTTCCTTTCCTTTGGTTTTAAATGATGCTTAACGGTACTCCAGTCCAAAGGAGGCTGATTTCTCATCATCATCATCATCATCATCATCATCATCATCATCATCATCATCTAAGGAGTGACCACCCCCTCATCCCTCTAATCCTGTAGGATTTGAATCCAATTCTCCCAAGAATCAGGGCTTTCCCCCACCCCAGCTCTTAGTGTCCCAAGGGCAGCTGCGGCAAAAGCAGCACCACTAGGGGCAGAGGTGGGATTAACAACTGACCAATTGAGAGGGGTGAACACCAGGGAGGGACCCCCGATGCCAGGTTTCTGTCTTGAGTGACAGGGTGGATAATGAGCCTCCCCGCGCTGGGAGAGGAGGAGGTGGCAGACGAGGTGATACACCAGAAAGCTCCACTTGAGTCTGTCAGCTGGAGCCTTCAGGGTTGGGTATGGAAGGCAAGTAGCCCCCTGGGGTTGGCTGTGCAATGCCCCCCATGGGCTGGATCAGCAGAGCCGAGACAGTAGAGGTGCTGGAAAGGCAGGGGCCCTGGGGGCCAAGTAGGAGCGAGGCTGGGATGGAGTTAGGAAGAACAGGGGCTGGTCCCCTGCTCACAGCGTTGAGATCAGAGAGGAGAGAAACTTAGCATACCCCACATGGTCCCACAAGACTGGTTATGGAAGAGGAAACAGAAGCTCAGAGAGGTGGAGTCATTTGCCCAAAATCACACAGCTAAAGAGTAGAAAAGTCAAGATTCAAACCCTACTGCATCTCTCTCTACCAGACCGTGTTCTTTCTCCTCCTATGCCACGGCCGCAGTTCCAGGGAACCCTCTTCTCATAACTAGGCCCACTGCCGAGCTGCGTTTTGGAAATGTGGCCCCAATCTTTAGCACTTACCTATCTTTAAATGACAGATGGGACAGGTGCTTAACCCACAGTGACCCCCCGCCCCCAGAATAAAGCCCAGGGCCTTGGCGCGGGGAGCTGGCAGGAGGTGGGCAGTCACCCAGTTCCACTGGTGGGGACAGAGTGGTGGGGTCCAGCAGCTTGGACATAGCTGTGAAGGACCAGGAGTGTGGTCCCTGCCCCACTGCCCCCCAATCCTCCTCACCAGCACTGAGAGTTTTGCTACCAGCAGCAGAAACCCCAAGAGGCCAGATCTGACCAGAGGGACGGCCTCCATGTCTGGGCCTCCCTCCCCTCCCCCAGCTGGGAGAGGCAGGGTGACCTCACAGATACCGCAGGGTGGGGGCTAAGTTACCATGGGGACCTAGTTGCCCAAGAGACCCCCCCTTACCTGCCTGCTTCCCTGTACAAAAAATGGGGTGTCTTCCATGTCCTGTCCCTTCCTGGTTGGAGACTGGTCCTAGGGACATTAAGTCTACCAGCCTCCCACCTGTCAAGCAGCAGGAGCCCGAGGAGCCTGCAGCTAGCAGCTGGACTGGCAAGTGTAGGGGTGAGACAGAGGGTGTTCGGTGCCATCCTGCCCCACTCCTTGCCAGCTCCCAAAGGAGCAAAAGCTATTGATGAGTTGAAACCTTTGTCCCTAGCCCACAGGTGACACCATGTTTGGAGGCTGACAGAAGCCTCTGCTGCCCAACCCTGAGAGTCCAGCCAAGTCCCTTCCCCACTGGCTCTTGCATTTTGTTAAAAAGTTGGTCCCCCGTCACAAGGCAGAGGACCACGGCGTGACCTTAGCCTCACATCTTAGTGACTTCCCAGTGGGTCCTGACAGGAGGTCAGAGGGCGGGGAGAGAAGGCCTAGAGCATCTGGACAAAGGCAGCTTCTGAGGGAAGGAGGGCAATTTGCTGTGCTAACCCCCTCGGGGCCTTGAGAGGCCACAGGCTGCCTGGAGCACCGTGGAGAGGTGGCTGGAGCCGTGTGTGTCGGGTCAAAGGCCGTGAACTCTAGAATTCAGAATCTGGGTCACAGCGTTTCCCAATGGCTCTCCTGACTGGGTGCTAGCAGAGGGTCCAGGAGGCTTTCACCCCTTTCAGAAATGGATACACTTCCACAGCACACCCTCTGTGGACAGGTCGCTGTCAGTGCAGGGTTCGGCAAGGAGAAGACCCCTCTGGGCAGACTGGAAAAAGGGCTGTCTCCCACGGACTTGCAGACGGAATGATTTCAGTCCTCACCCACTGCCTCGACCAGGCACCCTTGTCCAGCATACAACCTGCCCAACTGCACATGGCAGCCTGCCATGTCCCTGGAGTGTCAAGCATGACCTTTGCCCAGGGTAGTCCTGTGCAACCTCCCCTTGTCCCCACCCCCCACAAAAGCCGGGGTTTGGGGGGTGGAGCTTGTGAAGTCCCTTCCCTCTGCCCTTGCCCCTCGCACCCATCCTCTATGTCTCCTGCACTGCATAGCACAGGGCACCATGAGGGTGCCGACACCTCCTTGAGGTGAGTTTTGAAAGACAGGAAGGAATCTTCCAGAAAAGAAAGTGAAATGGTGGGTGATGCCAGGCAAAAAGGAACAGCATGACTCAAACAATTCAGTATTACTGCAACACAAAGTGGGGCGTGGGAAGAGCACAGGTGGGTGGTAAGGTCAGCAAGGGAACGGGGTCACGGGATGTTTCGTAAAACCACAGGAGCTGGCCCTGTGGAGCAGGGGTTAAGTTTCAGCACTACCAAGCTATTGCCAGCCACTGCGGCATCAGTTCAATCCCCGGCCAGGGAGCTGACCCACACAAGGCGCGGCAGACCTCCTGTCTCCCCTGCTGCTCCCCTCAGCAGTGTATTTCTGTCGACCTGCCTATTCTATTCCCCACTCTGTCTCTGGTGAATCCTCTCACCCCCCACACTCTGGCCTGTACCCCAGTTCTTGTACACATAAATAAATAAATAAAAATAAATCTTTAAAAAAGAATAAACCACAGGGCCACTGCAGAACTGAAGCGGCAATGCCCCTGGAGATCACGGTGGGTTTTTTAGTTGTCCCTACAGTTGCATGAGGAAGCTAGACTGGGGGAGGGGGAGCAGGAATAAGGGATCTGGAGGGATCCGCTAGGAACCCACAATAAGCCCGCCAGGCACAAGAGGCTGGGAGCCTGGACTTGGGACTGTGATGCTGGAAATGACAAGAAGGGGACAAATTGCTAGAAATGTGCAGAATGTGCAGCTGTCAAAACTATGAAAGGTCTACAACTACCCTACTTGCACAGCAACTAGCCAGCTGGCCAGAGTTTCTTGGAGGCCACAAGTCTCCTGGATCAGAAATACGGATAATTTATTACTCCTTACACCAGCAGGAAGCCAGAGCAAAAGTGGCTTGCATTGGTTCCTTGAGTCTCAAATCCCACCGGGTGATATAAAGAGGGCCAGAGGGTTACAGAAGAGAAATGCTGAGCTTAGGGAACCCAAATCTTTTACAATAGGCAGTAAGCCCATCTGCCCTTTGCTGTTGAGAGACAGTTATCACCATCGCGTTGGAACATGCCTGCACTTGACTCCAGGGGGAGACACTATCCATATCAGGGGGAAGCCTCGGAGGGACCGTCCAGAACAAAGAACAGTTCGCTCAGGTGCAGACATACGAAAGACCTGTGGAGAATTTTCTCCCAACAGAGGAAGAAACTAAAGCAAGGCAGGGCCCAGAGACCCCCCTCAGAAGACTAGGGTGGTGATGCTGCCCGGTTGGGGGAAGGGAGCTAGCTGGTGGGGGCTGAAACTAGGATTGCAATTTATTTCCCTCCTCTCTTTTCTCCCTTATTTCGTTTGCCCACCCCCCACCCAACATCTCCTGACAGCACTGTACCCAGAATTCAACTGTCACTTAGTCTGAGTTGATAATCCTCCACTTCTTGTTGACCAAACTCCCTGGAGCCTGTGGTGTAGGCAGGAGCTGGAGAGTCACAGAGACCTCACTCTGTCTCACTGCCCAGGGTACCTCTCCAGCCCCATTAGGTTGCTGCACCTGTGTCCTTTCAGCTTCGATCAGCTGCCCCCACCCCACCAGAGCCCTCATCTTGGTCCCCAAGCTAGATTTCAACAAGGTTTCTGGCTCTGTGGCTACCCAGACCACAGAGGGACTCATAGGCTGGAAGTCTAGTGACAGATTAGAGGTCTTCCCTGAAGAGTGAAATCAACTCAAGACCTCCCCCTAACTAGCAGCCCCAACCTCGCAGTCCCAGGGGCCAGAACCTTGATACACTCCCTCATATGAAACCATGAATCTTGTTCACTAAGGTGTCCCACGTCTAAAATAGTGCTGGGTGCATAGTGGAAGCTCCATAAATATTTATCCAATGAATTAATGATCCCTATCTGCCCAGTTTGGCAGGAGGGCAGCAGGAACTGCTGCGGGAAGCCCCCCACCCCCTTCTCTTTACTACCCAACACCTAGGTTCTAGGGCATAGAGGTGCTACCTCCCTACCCTGGCGCCATCCTGTTCTTAAGGTAGCAGGGAGGACCAGACGGGATAACCCAATTATCGGTGGTCTCTGCGCTCCCCAACGCCAGGGGCGCAATTCCCCGTCCCTTCTCTGCGGAGAATCCCCTCTCCAGCCCCGCCTAGACGTGCCCCCACCGCGCACCAGAGCTCTCAGGTGCGCGCTTCCACGGGTGCGGGGACGCAGCGCCACCGCCAGGGGGCAGCAGACACCGGCGAGCGAGGGCCGGCGCACCTGTGCGCTCTGAGCAAATTGGTGGAAAAGTTTTTAGTTGCTTGTTTTGTCGTCTTCTCAACCCGGGAGGCCAGTTTCCCTGGGACAACAGTGTTGTGGGAGGCCAGTTTCCCTGGGACGACAATGTTGTGTGCCGAGGAGCTCGCCGAATGCAGGTCCGTCAGGTCTGAGTTGCTGGAGGCAAAAATCACTGAGAAAGCTTTGGGTGAGAACCAATATTCTCCCTTCTTTACATGTTCCAAGGTTAAAATTTCACTGTTTTTCAAATTTCATCTTTTTCCAGAAGTACACACACACAAAAAAAATGGTAAGTATGCCTTTGTGCTTACTGGATGTAAAGGGCAGGACTGGCCACAGTGCAGGTTTTCTGATCCCATGCAGACCGGGTAAAGGAGCAGTCAGAGTCCTCAGTAGTTTTGCAGGTTTTTTATTTGGGGTTCACCAGGCATATGGCAGGCAGGGGTGCTGGCTGGGGGGCTGGGAGGCTGGCAGGCCTGCCAGCCTCCCAGCCCCCAGCAAGTCTTCACTCTATCTGGGCTCTCTAGCGTTCGTTCTGCTGCTTCTCGGCTTCTCTTTCGGCTTCTGCTTCGGCTTCTACTGCTGCTGCTGGCGTCCCCGTGACGCCGCCCTTAAAAGCACAGTCTTAGCTCAGCTGAATCCCATCTACCTATGCCCACACCCTATTCCAGGTGCCCGCCATCAGGCATGCATCCAGGACAAGGATCCATCATCTATCCTGATGGCGGAAGGGCAGAAAAGCCTGACATTTTCTTTACCCTACACTGGACCTTACATTTTCTTACTAAAAGTGATTTTATTGAAGTCACTGAAATGCAGAAGTGATTAAAAACGGACTGAATTTATCCCGGTCAGGGGAAAAGATTTCTGAGTTAGACAGATTTGGCTTTGAACTGACCTCTAGAAATGAAAATCTATCCCCACGCCCCCCACCCCTTATCCCCTACTCCTGCCCCCCCAACTTTCCTCACCTATAAATCTGGGATGTACTTTGTGGAATCTGTTAGGTGCAGAGTGGGTAGGAGTAGGTTTAATGTGCTTGTGGGGTGCCTTCAGCAGTACCGGGTCCCACACCAAAGCCTGGGGGCTGGTGGGTAAGTGAAGTCAGCATTTGTGGTTGAACAGGAACTCAAGAATTTTTTAAAACAAAATAAGCTACAGGCAAGATTGCTTTAAAATATGTGCAAATTTGCAAAACAACAGTAACCTCCCCGCACAATTTTTATTGATTCATAAAGTAATGTGAGGAAATACTAAGTTCAACGAAACTGCTTGCAGGTAATTCATGAGCCCAAGATTAGACCTTGAAGTTTTTTGAAATTAAAAAAAAAAAAATCAATAAAAACTGCCAACTCTAAAGAAGGATCATTGCTACCTTGAAATTAATTTTTAAAATGTTTAACACATAATAAAAATGCTTTGAGGATTATAAAAGAGGATATAAAGTTGCCAAACCATCCCATTATTGGAAAACATTATTCCCTCCCTTAATAAGAGTTTGGATAAATGGACCAAAAATGCATAAATGCCAGCCACCAGCAAGATACAAAAATCACCAACATATGAAAAGACAGCAATGAAGAAAAAATTTTTGGCATTCGTTGTCTCCTGCAGGCTCACCTAGCCCTCTCTCTAGGATATTCTCCCCAGCCCCACCCACCCCCATCCTCAACCTCTGCTTCTGTACTTGCTCTTTTCTCTACCAGCCTCTTGTGTCCTACAGAAACTGTCCCTCCATCCTGGGCCTCCCTGGTGGCGCAGGAGGTTGAGTGCAGCACTGTGAAGCTGTCTACAGCCTCTACAGCACCAATTTGATTCCCAGCTGGCCAGGGAGATACCCACATGGCACGGCAGACCTCTCCTGTCTCACCCACTGCTCCCCTCAGCAGTGTGTTTTGTCAGTCTACCTGTTCTGTTCCCCACTCTGTCTCTGGTGAATCCTCTCACCCTCCCACACCTCTGGCCTGTACCCCAGTTCTTGTGTGCATAAATAAATAAATCTTTAAAGAAAAAAGAAAATGTCCCTCCATCCATGGAAGTCTGTAGGAGGTTTCCATGCCTTGCCTGTCATGAACGGTGTTTCTGAAAGAGCAGATCACTCCGTAATCTTGATTTCAATCAATCTGATCCACTGGATCTATACCAGAAGTACAGCTTGCTGGGTCACGTGGTAGCTGAAGTCATTTTGGAGAGGCGTTGTTCAGAGATTGGGGTC